CCCCGACATTACTCTTTATCAACACTTGCTGTGTCCTCAATGTACAGCAAGTTGGAAATCTCAATAAAAGCCTGGCTTTAGCATTCCTAGAATTGATGTTCTTCCCTATCCAATGGCCATGTCCTCATTGGTGCCTTTTCTGACCTCCTTCTTCTGCCTGAGCCCCACGTTGGCTGTGACTACCATTATCCCCAGCACCTGCCAGAGCCTAGCACATAACGGGAATTACAACGAACATCTTGAATGAATGAATGGGAGCCTTTTTTTCTGAGCTTTCCCCTCTTGCCTGAACACCCCCCCCCCACCACCTTTTATCATCTCATTAATCTCTATAACTGCAGCCATCGAGAACCTGAGGGGCCACATGCTGACACACCCTCGTCATGTAACCGTGCCAGATCTCATGTGGTCAACAATGGGTGGAACCTGGGCTTCCTGGCACAGGGACCCAGTTCTTGTGCAAGAGCCTCTCCCTCTGGCAGTGCCCTCTTCCCAGTGAGGGTGGTCCGCCACAGCCATGTCAGGCACCAGAGGAAAAAGTCTCCCAGACTGTGTGCCCCTGCAGCCAAATCCTCCTGCGGAGAGAAGCTGTCTAGACCAAGGTCTGTCTGGCCCAATTACACAGTAAGTGCTTCTAAAAGCAACATACCCGGGGCGCCCAGGTCACTCAGTAGGTTAAGCGTCCGACTGCAGTTCAGGTCATGATCTCGTGGTTCGCAACCTTGAGCCCTGAGTCAGGCTCTGTGCTGACAGCTCGGAGCCCGGAGCCTGCTTCGGATTCTGTGTCTCCCTCTCTCTCTCTGTCCCTGCCCCACTCGTACTGTTTCTCTCTCTCAAAAATAACACTAAAACAAAAAATTAAAATAAAATATAATAAAATATAAGAAAGAAAGAAAGAAAGAAAGAAAGAAAGAAAGAAAGAAGGAAAGAAAGAAAGAAAGAAAATAAAAGCCACACACCAAAAACATGCACCTGTGTTTGGTAGTAACTAGTATGGTTACGGGATGGTTTTAAAAATGGGATGTCAACAGGAATCACTCTCAACGCATCACACAGGAAACTACTTTATCAGCACTTGGGAGCTTAGTGCGCCCCAAGTTAAAAATACTCCTTTCCTCTAGTTGAAGTACAAAAGTTGAAAGAACTGCTAAAACTTCATTTTAACTCGAAAAGTGACTTCCGAAGCAGAATTAATCACTATCTTGTTGAAGCCTCAATGGACAATCACTATAAGCTCAGATGAATCTCAAAAGCTACTAAAAAAAAAAACCACTGTGCAAAGGTCTCATAAAGCTAATGATGGGCTGTCTACCAAAGACAAGTTCTATCAAAACAGTAGACAATTTTCCAGATGGAAGAAATAGATACCACTGATGCTGTGGGGAAAACTAACGACCTTGTATTTCACTCCGTGGAGGAAAACAAAAAGCACAAGGCCCAAGATGCCTCCTTTCTCCTGGTCTTAGTCTGTTTGAAGCTGTTCATTTATTCATTCGACAAAAACATATCGAGCCCTTATTCTGCACCTGCCACTGTCGTAGGCACTGGGGACACTGTGGTGTACAGGGCATAACAAAAGCCTTTCCTGCATTCCACTGGGAGATACGGAAAGTAGTAAGATATTTAGCGTGATAGACAGTGAGGCATGCTGGGGAGAAAAATGCAACAAAAAGTCACTGGAGACGTTTGAACCAAGGAATGGCACCATCTGACTTCCATTTGAGCAGGGTCATTTTGGCTGCCGTCAAGAATACATGGAAGGGGTACAGGTAGGATAGAAACCACCAGTCAGAGGTCACAGCGATCTCCCCAGGGAAGGGACAGTCATTTGGGCCTGAGGGGCAAAATGATAGGAAAGGGTCAACTTCTGAATATATTTTGAAGGGAAGGCTGATGAGATTTGCTACTGGGTTTGCTGAATACGGGGGGAGATAGAAGGAGTCACTCTAACATTTTGGCCTGAGCACCTGGAAGGCTGGAGGGGCCTCTTTCTGCAATGGGTAACTGATGTGGAGGTGTGGCTTGGGATTCAGTTTAAACGTCTTAGGTGTCGAACGTCTAGACATCTGGGTCTATCGGGCAAGGGAGAGGATATTTGTATATTACATTCAGGTTCAAGAACCAAGATGCGCTTGGGAATCACCAGCAGATAGACGGTATTTAAAGACCTTAGCCACCAAGGAAGGGAGAGTGTACAGGTAGGAAAGAGGTGCAAGTCCTGAGTTCTGGGGCTGTCCACTGTTTATAGGTCAAGTTAAAGAGGAGGAAGTAGCCAAGGAGATGGAGAAGGAATAACCAGAGAGGTGCGAGAAGAACCAGGAGAGAACAGTGTCCTGGAGGCCAAGGTAAAGAAATGTTTCAAGGAGAAGGGGATCAAGGATGTTAAATGCTGCCAACAGGCCATGCAGATTCAGAGGAAACTGAACTGAACAGACAAAATCATGTTGTCAGACTCTACAGAAAAGACGCAAGATTGTAGCTAAAATACTGCCATATTTCACTGATTCTAAGACATCTGAATGCATATTTCAGTCAATGCCTTTTCATATCTTGGTTACAGTGGATTTTCTTCCTTAGTGGTATTATATTTTTAATGTTTATTTAATTTTGAGAGAGAGAGAGACAGACAGACAGACAGAATCTGAAGCAGGCTCCAGGCTCTGAGCTGTCAGCACAGAGCCTGACGTGGGGCTTGAACTCACAAACCACGAGATCATGACCTGGGCCAAAGTCGGCCGTTTAACCAACTGGGCCACCCAGGCGCCCCCCTTAGTGGTATTTTAAAAAATGTTATGTCACCATCAGTGGTGTCTTAGATTTGATAAAATATAAAGAGTCATTATCTTTTTAACTTATAAACTTGAACCCGCCTATTTTTTAAAATCCGACACAGCATCCACAACTTAATATGTCAAATTCTGTGCATACCCTGCAATGTTAAAAACCAATTACTCAAGAAGAACAACCAACAGAAATCTAGAAATTCCTCCTCCTCTGCAAAATCTGCTTACATAACACCTGACCAGGTTGATTCAAGGGCACTGATTTTTAAGGATTTTTTTTGTTTTGTTTTGTTTTTTGTTTGGTTTCTATTTGGATTTTAACCCTCTGTGGGGGAAAACACTAATTTGTTTTCCAAAGAGCTTAAATGCAAAAGCTGATAGTTAGATAAATTACAAAATAAAATATACACTTAAAACTAAATACCATCCCCTTAAAGCCCAGAGGAAGCATCATCAGCGGGTGGGCCTGGGGAGGACTGCAGCCTGCGATTCCCAAGGGCAAAAGCCCATCCCTGGCCACTTTGTGCACGAGATAATGCTTTTTAGGCTCCAGCGATAAGAGGCTTTTCTCCTGCAACAGTTCTTTCTGCTGCATAATCCTCAGACATCCTCAGAGGTTAAACAGATAGGTGCTGTCGGCGGGAAATGGCATTAGTGGAGGCAGAGGTGGAAAAGGCAGCGGGGTAAGGGGGGAGGTGGAAAAAACGTCTCTTCCTGCCACTGTAAAATAACTGTGGTGGGGCAGCCCCGGGGACGGAGCAAAGGACACAGCGGCCTCTTAAAATGGAACAATCTGCTCCCTTCAGCCCAGCTTCCCGGTGTTTACATTTCAAGTCTACTTCCCATAGGAAATTTGGGCTGACAGAGAGGTGACCGTCTGGAATTTTTAGTCAAGGAGGCTTGAGGCAAAGAAGGAAGGTTTCTTTGGTTGCAGCTGTCTGCTGTCTGGGGCTGAGAACACCACCAAGTTCAACAGATGTGACTTCAGATTAGCAGGACTCCATCACCTCTGACTTATCTGTAACGGCCTTTATTTATTTATTTTTTTACGAGAGCCCTCCAAGCCTAAGCTTAAGAGAAAAGTGAAAAGTAGGAAATCGGTGTAACTTCTATAGAGGAGAACTCATTATTTTTTTTTAATTTTTTTTTTTTCAACGTTTATTTATTTTTGGGACAGAGAGAGACAGAGCATGAACGGGGGAGGGGCAGAGAGAGAGGGAGACACAGAATCGGAAACAGGCTCCAGGCTCTGAGCCATCAGCCCAGAGCCCGACGCGGGGCTCGAACTCACAGACCGCGAGATCGTGACCTGGCTGAAGTCGGACGCTTAACCGACTGCGCCACCCAGGCGCCCGAGGAGAACTCATTATTGATGACAATTTTGTAGTTGTTTTATTTCAGACAAGTTGGTTTTTGCTAAGGGAAATAAAATTTTCTTAATAGAGCATGATAAAAAAAAAAAATCAAGCATAGAAATTTAGAAGTTTCTAGCCTCAGGTGATTCATGGGAAATTTCAAAAAATCTCTCAAAAAATAAAAATCAAATACAAAATTCGTAGAACAGGATATGCCACTCAGTAAGCATGAGGTAAGTCTTTGTTGAAGCAAAGTAAACAATGGAAACTTAATGGTAACAGAAGCCTTTCTTATAAGGCTAGAAAAATATATTTACTAGTCACAGTTGTACCCCAGAATTACTTTCACGATCTTGCCTATGTCAGCACTAACAAACATCCCGTAACATCACTTTAGGGGAAAAAAAAAATGAGTCGAGTACTTATTATCAAATTCCTAACACACTTCACTTGTTCATCATTTCTGAATGCTGCATATGGTAGTTTCCATAATTCGATTGCAATGTTTTAAGTGCTCCCTGAAACCTGACTTAAGAAGTCTATTGATATTGTTCAAATATATCCAGGGCACGGCTTCTGGTTACTCAACCTCTGTCCCCTACCAACCACTGCAACCTTGGGGAAAGATTTATGCCAGAAACACAGTCCCAACTGGACCGCATCTGGCTGCTTTCCCTGGAAAGAGGATGAAGGCTATGAGAGCTGGGAATCCAAGAGACAGGTTTCCTTCACAACCCCCGTAAAGACCCATTCTCCCATACCTGACCCATCCTGAAGGAGGAACCACAATTTGGGAAGAAAGGAAACACATTTCCTAAGCCTACTGTTGGGATTCATAAGGACCTAGAACCAAGGATGATGCTCGTAAGTAACACTTAAAGAAGAGATAGGTTTTGCTTATTTGCTGGGTAGTGCTTTGCTTGAGCAGCGGGGTAAGGATAGAGAACAGGATGGAAGAAACAAAACACATATTACCAGAAACTCAACCCCTAAAATATAGCTTCGTTCAAGGACAGTGTCTGAACTTTTTAAATAAGTGCACTGGCAAATTACGTCCGGGTTTTCAGGCAGCACTGTTTTCCCAAAGAACAGTCTTTACAGACAGACTGGGATATCAATCTTAGACAAATAAAGTTATGCAATCAAGTTATGCAAATAAGAGGTTTAATGACCAAGCCAGCTGAGCTGTACTTGAACTTGAACTTCATCTTCAGGTTTCAAGCCTGAGACACGGAAGCAGTTTGGTGTTTGGTCGTGGGTCGTTCTTAACTTCACTGGTAAGTTTTTGCAGCGCCAAAGGACAGGATTTAGAATGGAAGACGTTAGAGATACTTGAAGCCAATCCCTTCATCCTACCAGTGAGCAAAACCGGGCTCCACAAGGTCACAAGGTCCTTCCCTCTGCATAGCCTCCCTCCAAGCCAATGCTGTCCTACTGCACATGTCCCCTGAGCATGGTGGGTTCCTCCCCCTCCCCCTTGCCCCAGGCTGCACTGTCGAGGCGACCACGGGAGCAGGCTGGGTGAGCAAAATTCCTTCCTCTCGCCCTCGAGAATGCTGAGAGTCACAGACTATGTGCCACACTGTCAGTTTCTTTCCAGCTCTTTTTGTTCTGGTCAGTCGGGCTTTGAGGCACGTTATGGCCACCGTTCTTAGTGTAGATTTTTTTTTTTTCCCTACAGCCATTTCTCCTGACCCACTGGACTCATTAAATCTCACCCTCGATGGAGTTCTACTTGTCTTGAACATCAGATACAACTGTCCCTCCACCCTGGCCTCAGCTCTCCACGAATGCTTAGTACAGCTCAACTTCCTGACCTTCCTGTGAGGAAAGAGAGAAAGAGAAGCAAGCCGAGCTGGCAGCTTTATCAATATTTACATATGATCTCATTTAGTCTTCATCAACAACCCCATGAGATAGGAGCTATGTCCACATTACAGATGAGACAACTGAGGAGAGGTTCGGTAGCTTGGCATAGTTGCACAGTCAGGACGGAGAGTCAAAACCGCAGGTAAATCCACCCATCAGCCCACATCTCTCACTGCACCATGATGCCTCCCAGGACCAAGCAAAGCGTTATCCACCCTGTCCTTCTTGAGTCTTGGTTGCTTCCCTGAACATAAATCTTTTGAATATGTCTCCCACCAACCCCGACTCCCCTTCATGGGGTCACAGGAAAGGAGACAAGTGGAAATAAAGGAGAAATCGGTTACAATGATAGATTTACGATAGCCCAGGTTTCAACCTTCTGCCCACTCTTCCTCCTCCAAACAATGGAGAGATGTGGGAGACGCAGCAGCACATGCTAGTGACCAGCTCAGAATCCAAGGCCAGCTGCGTGAATGCCAGTCCTGGCTCACCACTGGCTTGACGTGTGGACCTTTGTCAAGTCATGTAATCCTTCTGTGCCTCCGTTCTTAATATGCTGTAGAATGGGCACGGTCCTGCCATTATAAGGTTGTTCTGAGAATTAAATGAGAAAGTACATATAAATCCCACAGAACAGTACCTGGCACACAGTAAGCATCCGATAACCCTGGTGTATTCTCTCTCCCTTCCTCCAAACCAGTGTGTCAATGCCAAGGCCTTACATAGGCTCCCTTAGAGCAATTTGCTTATAGAATAATCCTAGGCAAGGACATTTCTGAGTAAAACCGAGTTAAAGTCAGAGGATGTCAAGAGCAGCCAGAAAGGTGCTTGAGTGCCTGAGAAGCAGGCCATGAGGGTGTAAGGAAAGGATCAATGAAAGAATGCCTCTGCCTCTTCAAGGTCAAGGTGGGAAAGTTCCATGTATATTGCAAGAGCTTTAAGAACTTCTTTACTTTCACCTGCTGCCAAGATCTAATTCATCTCCAGCTCCCAGCTTCTTCACCTCCCGCAGTCGGAAATCATCCAATTAAGAGGCTCAGCAAAAGTAGCGGAACACCGCCACCACCTGCAGCCCCCCCCCCAAA